TAGATATTTTACCATTCTTATTTTACTAGTGGAACATTAACTTTTTATTCAATATTTAATAGGTATTAATACTAATAATAAAACTATTCGAGATCCCTATTTCAGAGGTTATATATTATACAGGGTGTGTCAAATTATATAAAACAGAGATAGATCATAGGTCTCATAACTTTAAGCTATTCATATTAAGGGTGGTTCGATTTTGATCAGTAGCAAAGTTACTGGTGAAATTTCTTGTTTTTTTTTTATGTAATTAGTTATCTAACTTTTACATCCCTTGATTTTTGATCGAAATTTGAGAAAAATGTTTACGTGTTACGTGTAAATATGATCTTTTTTTGTTTAAAATTATGGAATCTATAAACTGTTTCAGTTGGCTCCTCATAATTTAAGACACTTGTAGTGTATCCAAAAAAAAATTGGTTGTGGTCATAATATTAAAAACTGGGCTACTGTCGTATTACGATAAAGATATGTTTACAATCATAGGTACAACTATGATGGGATATACAAAGCGATACGGATGGAGACACCGTTAGCCGACGGTAGATCACCCGTGGCTGCCACTTTAATTGATTTGTTTTATATTAATTAACATTAAGTTTATTATTATAAAACATATAATATGATTGATCTTCTGTTATGATCTAAAAGCATTTTAGAAACTTTTATACAGAGTAACTTTTTTGTTTTAAAAGATTGTTTAGCTAATTCCCTAGTGTAAACAAAAAAGTATGGTAAATCACATTTTTAGTTTTTATTGGGCCGTAAGTTCCAATGGATTTTTGAATGTTTAAAATAATACATTTACGTAAAATATTAGTTTTCTATAATTTGATAATTAAGTTTGTGACACTTAACCCCCCACAAAAAGCATAATTTCGATTGACTGTTTTACGGTATGTCTTTCGATGACAATTCTGTGCCTGTCAGTCGAGAGACATTTTACGATTGACATTTCTTTTCTGAACTTGGTTTTGTGAAGACAAATTTTAAATAATCGAGATGATTCTCTGAAAAAGAGATTATTTTCCATTTTTAAAGACCTTTAGATTAAATATAATATTTTTTGGTTTCATACAATTCTCAAGAATTAACAAGTTTTATATTTTAAATTTTTTAGGTTATTTTTTCTTGTAAGTTGAACGTTTTGAATGTATTAGTTTCTGTAAAATAGATATATTTTATTTTATTATTCAAAACGTTCGTCTCATCCGTTCTACCTATCCGATTATCCATTAAGAGGTTGAACTATTTTAGCAATGTATAAATAAATGGTTTTATGGTTTTAGTGAAAGAAACATCTGGATGATAGTTGTGTTTTTTTATTGGAAGAAGTAATATTTGGATGATGGTTTTTTTTTTAGATAAATGAAGAAGGATTTACTGATTTGATAAAACTTAACGTCTTACGGACCTAAGAAGTGCCAAAGAGATAAGTCCATTCATATTGTACCGAATACTATTCAAAAATAGATAAATTAAAAAGTAATTTTGTTATTAAACACTCTTTTAGATTAGAATTTGGTTTTCCCGCATCTCCTGAAGGCATATTCTTTATTTTTCAATTAAATTTAATAGTAATTTTTCTTTCCGTATTTTCATCAATTACTTTTATACGTAGAGATATGCAGATTTAAATACGGTGGCGTCCAATTTCTAAATACAGTGTAATTGAGTTATCATGTCCAAGTGTCCCTATCCACAACCTTTTTTACAGAGATTTAATCACTTAAATTGTAAAAACACCTTCGTTACAACTGCCACTACACTATTAAGGGTGATTGCGATTCAAAAGAAATCGTGTGGCTATAAATTTACCAGAAACTTTTAAAAATTGTATAAAGATATTTCAACCCTATTTCAAAATCGTTTTTCTATTTTAATTTTATACTCATATTTATTTTTTTACAATCAGCAATTAGTAATGCGGTTTTTATTAAAAAATATCGATGCTTCAAAATAAATATTCGTACTGATTGTGTTGATCCGTAGTTTAAAATAACAAATAACCACAGATGGCTTTAAACACGGTTTATTTATCGTCAATGCTTCTAGGAAATATGTAATTCTATACCCTTTAAAAAAAAACGTTAACCAGAGCAGAAATGACTAAACATTATAGAAATATGTAACGATGTTTGGTACGCCGCGCCGGCACTTATTATAATTAACCGTGGAACAAATTTTACCGATAAAAAAATCCTTATTCGTAAATATAAATATTAAGGGTCATTAAATTATAGCAGGGGTGCTACTGGGCAAGTTAAAAGGTATGTTGTAACAATAATTAATTTATTAACTGTTGAAGTTCGAAATTTGTCAGAATGGACGGGCGCTCTTTCCAAATTACAATTAACTGCTAATTCTACCATTCGAAAAGTTTACTGCAGGTTAGGTTAATACCTGAGGAGTACCTCTGAACTTAATGATGTTTTCGTTTTACCAGAAAGTCAAGTACAGGTCTGGTTAATCCGTAAGGAGTACCTCGGAACTTCTCTACTGTTTTTATTTAGTAACAAAGGTAATTACCGGTCGGTTATATATATATAAACTTCTAATGAAAGCTTTTGCTTTTTTAACTAAAAAAGTTAAGTACAGGTCAGGTAAATATTTGAGAAGGAGTATCTCTGTACCTTAATTTAAAGCTTTTGTTTTTGTAATTAAGAAGTTAAGTATAGGTCAACCAAATATCTAAGGAGTATCTCTAAATTTATTGCTTTTTTATATTGTCTGCTCAGCAAAAATTTACAGAAATCTTTTGAAATATTATATATAGTATGTAACGGTTACTCTTCTAGTACCGTTATTTTTTAATATTTTAAAACTGTATTTTTAAAATGATTGTCCCATCTCTATTAGGACCGATAGTTTCATTCTTTCGCTACCAATATTTTATATAGTTATTTTTTGTTTTTTATAAGTTGTATGTTCGGATCGAAAGTGAATTTCGACAGGTATTACTTGAAAAAGCCTTTTACAATAATACCTCAGAACGAGGCAGTCGAGATTATTAAATCTGCTAATATTTAAGTAATCTTAAACAGTATGTGATATTTTTATTAGTGGTGAGAACCATCAGTATTTTATGGTGAGTACAAGATTAATATTTACAAGATTTCTGCAAAGATTAACGAAATGGATCGAGATTTATTTAGTTGTTAAAAATGTGAGGTTAGATGTTTTAGAACGTGTCATTAATTTCTGTAAAGATTATTTTTTATTCATTATGTGTTCAGAAACATCTTACCTCCTTGTTCCTTATTTTTCCTTATTACGTAAACTTCAAAAAGGTCTCAATCTTTTAGATAAGTCAACCTTTGGATGGTTTTATTACAACTCCGCTGAGAACATAGTTTAAAATATATTTTTTAAACAAATGGTTAGAATACAGTTGAAGTTATGGTCCCAAATATGTTGATTTATGATTAGAAGATAGTTGCAGTTATGATTACAAACACGTTAATTTATATTTAGAAGAAGACGCATCGCTGTAGGAGACCGTCCTTATTTGAAAAGATTGAAGACCTACACCAGTCCTACTTTGAGATAAGTTTCACTTTTATCTTTGAAACATTAAATAAAGAAGTAATTTAAACGAATCATGGCTTGTGTAGATTGTAATTGTTACTTGCCTGCATAAACATATACGTTCTATTTTAACATCAGTCATATTAATTATATTTGCCAAACTATTATAATTCACCTTAAATGATATGTTTATGTAAGTTTGGTGGCGCCCTCCATACCTTTCCTATAGTTAAGTATTGTCAAGGTTATTAAGTGCTACTCACGGCCCTAATTAAATCGAGCTAAAACACGGTAAGTAAAACCAACATTACTTGTTACAAGTATAATTTATAGTATTGTGCAAGCTTTATGTTTTATAAATGTGGTCTGGTAAATGGTATGAGGAATCTGACGATTCACGATCACAGAAAAAATCAGTTGTACTGTCATGGATGAGCGGTGTTAGCAAATAATTCTTTTGTTTTTGGTTTTTCCTTTATGTTTTGTTTTCTAAATGCTATAGTAACTGCCCGAAACCTACTAGATGACTTGCTTTTTAGCAACGCGATGGCAGGTGATAAGCATTTCGTGCCTAGTAGAGTGAAAAATGCTAGACGGATATTGTTGAAATCCGAGGAGCATAACTCTTATTTTAAATGATTTTAAAATATATAAATTGAAAAATGCTGGACGGATATTGTTGAAATCCGAAGAGCATATCTTTTATTTTGAATGATTTAAAAAATATATATAAATTGAATCTGCTGGATGGATTTTGTTGAAATCCGAGGAGCACAGCTTTAATTTTAAAATTATTTTAAACATATTAATTGAAAAATGTCGGACGGATATTGTTGATATCCGAAGAGCAGATTGTGTTTAAAATTATTTTAAAATCTTAAATAAAGTATTAGAAATAATAAGACATGTGGTGTTGTATCACTTATTTGAAAATGCAAGGTTTTGTCTAGTCTCAGAAAGTGATGAGCAGGAAACTTTTTCGAAATACTTGGCGTGGGAAGAATTTGGCAGCTGATCTTGTAATTTTATTATTTTTATTTGATACGTCTTTTCTTTTTCGTTTAATATTTTTATAAATTGAAATAATACAAATTATTAACCAGTCTTTACATAAAAAAAAGAATATTTCGAGAGCGAAATATAGATCAGTATGGCCGTGTTAGCAGGTAAACAAATTTTTGTGTAAATACTAATTTTGTAGTATAATGTAGATAACACTTCTCCAGGCAGAACGATTTGAGTAGCCTTGAGTGTCTAGTGCGGTCAGCTGTGGCTGTAGGCGGCTGATTCTCACGCATTGTGTTTTATCGGTAATGACTTGGTAACTAAATAATTATTTCACTTAATAATTAATACAATTTAACAGGTAGGTATACAATAGTTATTTAGCGTTATAAAATTTAATAGTAATTTAGAAAAATTGACTGGGAAAGTAATTATTATATTTGGTAGTAGGCAAAGTTACTTACATAATCTCAACTCTTCTAAATCTATCAGGGCCAGATCGATTCCGATTTCAGTTCCGAGTTCTTGTTGTAAAGGTTGGCCCAGAAGATCTTCTACGGCTTTAAAAAAAAATAACAAAAATTAATAGCAAAGAATTTGATGTAAAAGTAAATGTGTAAAACTATCGGTTTTTAGGAGAACTACTGTGAATATTGGTTTTTTCTGTTCTTTTTGAATATAAAGAATTTATGTTAGATAGAGATTAAGTCTGATTTAGCCCAATTCCAAGGAGTGGTGATTACCTTTTTGTAATCACAAGGTGGATGGTATATCCAAGTATAGTTGGCCCCGAATTCGGTGAGAAAATGTACACCGAAAAAGGGTAAAGGTAAGTTTGGCAACATACACTTACGGCGGATTATAATACAGAATCGTATTCAGGTACCGATTTTAAATTTGAAATGTGTATAAATATTAACAAGTTAAACATTATATTTTTGTATTTAAAGAATTCTCAAAAAATAAAATGATTATTGTTTTTGTGTGCACCATAAGTTCCATATTAGTTTATTTATATAATAAATACACCATTATTTTTGTCCTAATTTTAATTTCTGGCAATATTAAAAAAAAATATGGTTTTATTTCATTAAAAAGTAAAATTTTGAATTTACTAAATATACAATAAAATATTCATATTGTCGTGAAGCTGAAGCTAGCTGATCTAGAATCGACTGGAAATTTTTTTGTGCGCAGGTCGACGCATGGAGTAAGGATTTCGCGAATGCATCGAGCTTCTTCGAGTAAGGATTGGATTTTTCTGTGCTGCTTCATTTTTATATACAGGGTGTTTCAATAATATATGCGCAAAACTTTAGGACGTGAAAACTCGTCCAAAAATATGAAAAAACGTTCCTATTAACTTATCCTCCAAAAGCGTATGACCAAGATTACCTTTTTGTGTAGAAAACATTGGCGGTTCAAATGGGCGTCTCAAAACCGTACTTATTCCCGTGGCGTAGAAATTTTTTTTCAATTTCAACACCCTGTACCTTGAAAATGGTGCATTTTAGAGGGCAAGTTAATAGAAACGTTTTTGGACGAGTTATCACATCCTGAAGTCCTGCGTATATATTATGAAACACCCTCTATAAGCAGATTCTTTTGCCGTAATAAGTTTTAAAATAAATGTTGTCTAGTAAATTTAAACTGTTAAATACTAGATGTGTAAAATATAAATAGTGCTAAAATATAAATTAATTAATGCTTAGTGTAAATAAATTATAAATAAACTGTTTTATTAAAATAAAAAAAAAACAATACATTGGTGTGATTTTGTAAATAAATAATAACTACAAATAGCTAAAACACTGCGTGATTTGAAGGTGGCAGAGCGGCTTAAAGAAGCACTATAAAGTAAAGATCTAGATGCGGAAACGTATCTTTTTTCTTATGATGCGGCTTCTATAATTTCTTCTTAGGAAAGTAAAATGTCTTTCTTAATTGAAGAATCGTCTGATATGTCTTCTATGAAAACTAAAATTACTGCTAATGCTTTTTCCATAAACAGAAGAAAAGGTTTTTTCCGAAATATCTTCTATGGAAATTAAAGTTTCTTCTAATATATCTTCTATAAGAAATTAAATGTCTACTTTAAAAAAATTAATTTCTTCCGACTTAAAAAGTTAAATTTCTTCTGTGGAAAATTGAGCAGAAAATAATGTCTTTCATTAAGGATAAAATAAAAGAGATGGAAAAGAAGATAGAAGAAATATATAAAATAGAACAGGCCAAGGCCAGTGAAATAAAGTACCATGAGGTAGAATCAAAGTTGAAATTGGAAAGAGCTGTAAATTCTGTTTAAGACCCACTTTTCGACGAGAGGATGTCATGGACCAACTGCCTTAGAAAAGGCAGTAAATTTGAACATAACCCTTCGAGGAGACGATTTAGATGTCCTTCACATAGCTTGTAGACAAGTTAGATGATTTTAAACAACTTAAAAAGAGACTTAACATGTGATATGCTCAAGAACACTCGGAGCATTTATAGTATTCACGCTTAAAGAATCGCAAACAAAACCAAAACGAAACCTTTCAAGAATATTAATAGATATTCTTAGGTTAGTACGCAGGCTTCTAGAGAATACAGTAAAGGGAGGACTGTAAAAGAGAAAGAAGAAGTGGAAGATAAAGTCGATAACTGGTTAACATAATGAAGAGCTTTACTGACAAAAAGATAAAGACGATGACTATTAGGGGATAGCATATATACGCAGTTCGTAAAAATGCCATGGAGTAACAATAAACCAAGACAACACGCCGCAGGAAAACAAAGAATAGGATAGGAGTGGTTCCACTACAATATAATACAATATATCAATCATTCAGATTCACTACAACTACTATTATTAATTGAATCACTGTCCATCTGTACCAGTGTGAAATTCGGTTGTTAGGAAAATCATTTAAAAGGAGCTGGTGAACACATTAGATATCCAGTCTACTTTTGGACATCATATTAAATTCAACAATCATAACTTTACTTCTCCTGAGAATGTTACTGTTCTTCATAATATTTTTAATTGCAACTTTAAACTAAATCTGCTCGAAGACCTTGAGATTCACAGAGAGTTTAATAAACCAAATGTCACATGTTTTAAAATCGAAAAATCGAAAAATCAAAAAATCGAAAAATCAAAAAATCAAAAAATCGAAAAATCGAAAAATGGAAAAATGGAAAAATGGAAAAATGGAAAAATGGAAAAAATCGAAAAATCGAAAAATCGAAAAATCGAAAAATCAAAAAATCAAAAAATCGAAAAATCGAAAAATGGAAAAATGGAAAAATGGAAAAAATGGAAAAATCGAAAAATCAAAAAATCGAAAAATCGAAAAATCGAAAAATCGAAAAATCGAAAAATCGAAAAATCGAAAAATCGAAAAATCGAAAAATCGAAAAATCAAAAAATCGAAAAATCGAAAAATCGAAAAATCGAAAAATCGAAAAATCGAAAAATCGAAAAATCGAAAAATCGAAAAATCGAAAAATCGAAAAATCGAAAAATCGAAAAATCGAAAAATCGAAAAATCGAAAAATCGAAAAATCGAAAAATCGAAAAATCGAAAAATCGAAAAATCGAAAAATCAAAAAATTAAAAAATCGAAAAATCGAAAAATCGAAAAATCGAAAAATCGAAAAATCGAAAAATCAAAAAATCGAATATCGAAAAATCGAAAAATCGAAAAATCGAAAAATCGAATAATCGAAAAATCGAAAAATCGAAAAACCGAGAAATCGAAAAATCAAATCGTAAAATCGAAATAAAAATTCCGTAACAAAAATAAACCTAACATCCCCAACTCCGACCGGCACAACTGTGCGTCGTTGAAAGCCGTGCATTGTCTAACGTCGTTTCAGTTCGGCAGACTTCGGCACGGTGTTTGTGTGCGTGCGACTAGACGTATGCGTGTAGACTAGCTGCTAACTGCTCATAACTGATTCAATCTCTTTTAGACACAATTTCGGAAAAATTTAATTTGAAAATGAATAATGTTCCACAAAAATCCACAACAAAATATGGGACCACCATTGACGCGGTATTTTCCAGATATTTAGAGGATATCAAGTCTCAAACCTATGTTTCTTATTTCAGTTACCATAAACCTATAGTTTCAATGATAAAAATTCCTGAATAACCTACATGTATTGTAAGGTAATAAAAATATTTTAAACAATATTAACTTCTCATTTATTTAATAAAAGAAAAAAATTTGTTTTCTTATCGGTCACCACGCTCAAAAAGTGTAACTTGAATTTATTAATTCAAGTTTTTTCTTTGATATTTCAAAGAAAAAAAAATACTGCATAAATAAAATAAATAAATAATTATAATTGCATAAGTTGATAAAAATGCTATGCAATAGCTTTAACGCGGCAGTCCCCGAGTGCCACACGTATTTTTTTAATTTTTTTTTTAGTAATGTTAGAGTTGATTATATTGTAACAGCTCCGTTTTTTTCCTTTATAGAGTCTTTGATGATGGCTTAAGAGGCCGAAAGCGTTTAGATGAATTTTTTATAGAGTTTTATTGAATAAAACTCAATTTTACACACTTTAAATACTCTCATGATTCATTTCATATTGTTATTATTTGTTTTTTGCCAAAATAAGATGTTGCACTAACGATCTTATAAATAAAAATACAGGACATTTCCTCAAATTCATCACTTACCCGATATTATTTTATATTGTAAATTGTTGATATTTTTATTTTTTATTCTATAAATCACAAAGCTTTGATTTTTATAGCTCTCTCGCACGTATATCGAGAAGCTTTTTATCTATATAGAAAAAGAATTTCTCTATCCTATCCATTAACGATTTTCTGTCTACTTCCAAAACGAAGTCACATCAGTTTGAAATATGCCTTTTTTAAAACGTTTAAATTCGTTTATTCGTTCATAGTCCGCTTTCCGAATAAAAACCTGTGCTAGAATAATAAGGAATAATAGCGATAAACCGTTGTTTATATCTGTCAATTCATACATAACACAGAACAATAATAAAACAAAAAACGTTAATAATAATATTAAGTATTTAGTCAAAATTACTATGGACAGTCGGACACCATCTACTCTAATAACTTGTTGTCGATTTGTAAGATAGCTTTCAATTAATTTGAATGATATATGTCTGTTATACGAGCTTATTCTAGAGCGTGTTTCTCAAAGTTTGCTCCGGGGAACCCCGGCGCTCCGCAAAGCCTCTATAAGGGCTCTGCGAAAATAATAGCGGGGTCCGGCAGCGACAGTTTCAAATGCTAAAGGTCCAAATATACAAAGAGACATGGATCTAGAGCAGTTAATATTTTGGTACACGGGGGTTTATATCATAGGCACAATACGTAAACACGTTTCTGCGCATGCAACTCCGCGCTTGGGTGCTCTGAAGTCCGTTTTACAATAACAAAATTATATTAAAATGTAAAGCACATTGATTAATTTAATAACATCTCGTTCAGTAGCACACAAAAAGTGTTGTTTCAAAAATTTTAATTCATATATTACAACAAACTAAAAAAACATGGTTATTTGTACTATGTGAAGATGGCTTTCTG